GGTGAGGGGTTACAGGATTTTGGGGGTCACAGGATTTCAGGGGTCACAGGTACAGGCTGAGCCATCACACAGCTCCATCCCCCCCTGCCTGAGCAGATCCAGCTCGGGGCAGCCTCACCTGCCTGGGGCCCCATTTTTGGGGATCCTCACCTTTTGGTATCCTCACCTTTTGGGGTCCCCATCCTTTGGGGTCCTCACCTTTTGGGATCTCCATTTTTTAGGGGTCCCCACCTTTTTGGGCTCCTCACCTTTTTGGGGGTCCTCACCTTTCGGGATCTCCATTTTTCAGGGGTTTTCACCTTTTTGGGGTCCCCACCTTTTGGGCTCCTCACCCTTTGGGGTCCCCACCTTTTGGGCTCCTCCACAGACCCAAACACCAAAACCCTTCCGCAGCTTCTCCTGCACTCGCTGTGCCCCTGGAGGGGCACGGAGGGAGAGGAGCGAGAATCCGAGCGGGGAAATAACCGGGACACCAAGACAACCTTCCCTTGGAGAGTGAAAAGGGTCACTTTTATTTATTTCCTTTTATTTCTTTTTTATTTCCTTTTATTTCCTTTTTTTTTAATTTCTTTTGGCTTCGAGTAATTGTTCATCACGTTGGGTAAGACCCGGATGAGCCACCATGCAATTTCTAATACACTAAATCTTCACTATTGAGCTTTTACAGCTTGGTTTGGGCTTTTAAAAATTCAATTCTATTTTATTTTTTTGCAGCAGAAAAATCATTCCAACTCAGGTGTGGCCTCTGCGGAACACCATGGGGTAACCTGAATTTTTTTTTAAATTTTATTTTCAACGTTGGCTTCTCTATTTTAAGAAAAGGTGAAGAAAGTGAAGAAAGCAGCTTGGACTGGCATTTCATTAATGCACTTTGGGAGTCACAAATTAACCCAAAAAGGAGATTTTAGAGGTGGGGGAGGGACGGGAATTCCTTGGTGTGGTTGTGAATTTTGGCTGCACCTTCCTCACATCCCCCCCCTTAACCTGGCTCCCAAACCCCGAATCCAGAATGGGAATTCCCTGCTGGGATTTGGAGATTTAGGGGTGGGGGGGGGGACACTCGAGGGTCCCCGAGTTTTGTTTTTTGTTTTTTTTTTTTCCTAAAATTTCCTCCAACTTTGGCTTCACCCAGTGAAGACCCCGAGGGGGGAAACATCTGCCCTGGGGAGGGAAAAAAAAAATAAAATTAAATTAAAAATAACAACCCCGAACACCCCTGGAACCCTTTTATTTGGTTTTTTTTTTTTTTTTTTGAGCAGAAAATCCAACTCCAGCCAAGAGCCAACTCCTCCCTCCCCTTCCTGCTCAGGAAACCTCGTGTCCCAGATAAAACCTTTTTTTTTAAAAAAAAATAAAAAATAATAATATATATATCCAGAGTTTGAAGGGACTTTTTTTATTTTAAAGTCATGGAGCAGCTTCATGAGTTGCCAGCACAAACGCCAACGCACCAAGACTCAGCCCAGCCTAAGAACAAATTTAAATTTCAGCCAAATCTTGCATAGAAGTGGTCGACTTATTGCACATTGGAACCCAAAAATAGACACTTTTGCTGCTGCAAATATCACTTGCAATAAAGCTTTTTTGTTAAAAGCTATTTGGAGGGGATTTAGGTTTTCGTTTGGAATTTTTTGTTGTTGTTGTTGTATTTTCTTTTCTTTTTTTTTTTTTTCCTTTAGGGGATATTTCCTGGCTATCTAAAATCTAAGGACAACAGAAAAAATCTTAAAAAAATAAAAATAACCATGGACAATGGCATAAGCCAGAAGCCATTCTATAATTTTTGTAGTTCTTTGTATTTACAAAAAGGCATGCCAATAAAATAAAATGATATATTACAGTATTTATAATATTCTCTTAAAAAGTTCAACCACACTTTTCAGCTATTTTTTTTTCCTTTTTTTGTGTGTTTTTTTTTTTTTTTTGTGCTGTTTACAATGTAGCCTGTACATATGTATGTAGAATTTTTTGTTTGTTTGTTTGTTGTTATTTTTTTTATTATTATTTTACATCCCATCCTAGGAGCAATGGGGGCACAGATGGCTGCTGGATGGCTTCCTGCTCGGGTTTGGTTTCTTTCAGGTGATTCCTGGCATTTTCTGCGTTTATGGGATTATGCAAACTGAGATTCATCCTCTCCTCACCCTCTGGTGTCTTGGGGGATTTTGGTTTTTTTTGGTTTTTTGGTTTTTTTTTCCCCGCTAGTTTGGGCGCTGTTATTTTATTTTTAATGTCACCCCTGCAGTGACTTTTGGCTTCCCCTCGCTGGTGCCACCAACCTGGCCCTGAAAAATGTCCCAGCCTGGGTGGGGCTGGCTGAGAAGTGGTTGGGGGCACCCAGGGTGGATTTGGGGACACCCACGGTGGAGCTGGGGACCCAGAATGGGGCTGGGGACACCCAGGGTGGATTTTGGGACATCCCAAGATGGATTTGGGGACACCCCAGGGTGGATCTGGGGACACCCCAGGGTGCATTTGGGGACCCCAGGGTGGATTTGGGGACTCCCAGGGTTCACTGGGGGACATCCCAGGGTGGAGCTGGGGATTTGGGTGGATCTGGGGACACCTAGGGTGGATTTGGGGACACCTAAGATCCATTTGGGGACACCCCAGAAAGGATTTGGGGATGCCAGGATGGATTTGGGGACATCCCAGGGTGGAGATGGGGACCCAGAATGGGGTTGGGGACACCCAGGGTGGATTTGGGGACTCCCAGGGTGGATTTGGGGACCCCAGGATGGATTTGGGGACCCCAGGGTGGAGCTGGGGATTTGGGGACACCCAGGACAGAGCTGGGGACACCCCAGGGGGGATTTGGGGACACCCCAGGGGGGATTTGGGGACAAGGACCCAGCTGCACGTGGCTCCTGCTGCTCCTTGTGCTGCAGTTGGGGCCAGCCCAGAGCCAGCTCTGCTCGCCCCCAGCCCCGGGCTGGAAAATGGGGCAGGGGGGAAGGTGAAGGCACCAGGCTGAACCCCAAAAATCTCCCCAGGCTGAACCCCAAAAATCCCTCCTTGCTGCACCCCAAAATCCCTCCTGATTCTACATCCCAAAATCCCCCGATTCTGCCTCCCAAAATCCCCTCCTGATTCTGCCTCCCAAAAATCCCTCCTGATTCTGCACCCCAAAAATCCCCCCTGGCTGCACCCCAAAATCTGATTCTGCACCCCAAAATTCCTCCTGATTCTGCACCCTAAAAATCCCCTCCTGATTCTGTCCCCCAAAATCCCCTCCTGGCTGCACTCCAAAATCCCCCCTGATTCTGCACCCTAAAAATCCCCTCCTAATTCTGAACCCCAAAATCCCCTCCTGATTCTGCCCCAAAAAATCCCCTCCTGATTCTGCAGCCCAAAAATCCCTGCTCCAGCTCTGTCCCCCAAAATCCCCCCTGATTCTGCCCCCCCAGGCAGGAGCCACCTCCCCACCCCAGCATTGGTTCCTGAGCTCCCCAAATTCCACCCAGCACAGGTAACTGCTGCTTTTTCTTTTTTTTTTTTAATTTTTCTTTTTTTTTTTTTTTTTCCCCCATTCATCTCTACCCAAAGAAGTGTCCACACTGCGGGATGGAGGCTGAACAATAATTAATATTAATGCTAAATATTGCAGGATACAACTGACCTTGCTTGGCTGGTTGAAGCCCTAAGTTTTGGATTTACAGTGACATGGATAAAAGCCATTCCCAGATTTATCCTCTCCCCCTTTGGCGAGGTCCAGAGCAGCATTTTGAATTTTTTTGTTCTGTTTCAGTGTGCAAAAAACAAACAAAAAAAAAAACAACCCATGGCTGTACGGAAAAGAAAGTCAAAGTTGTTAAACAGACACACACAATTCATTCACCTGCTCGTTGGGGTTTGGTTTTTTGGTTTTTTTTGGTGGATTTTAGAGTTACATTGGGGTTTTTTTTTTGGGGGGGGATTTTTTTTTTCTCTCCTACTGGCAGGTTTATGGAAGATTCTCTATGAACTCGGACTGGTGGTGGGCAGGAGCATCACTAAAGTTTCTCTCCCAAACACAGAGTGTGGTGGATACTCAGTGGAGTGCCTCGAATTTATGGCTTGACACACCTGTGTGGACAGGTGAGTGGTGTCCCCTGCTTGTGGTTCCTCATGCATGGTTCCCTGGTCATGCCATCATGCAAAATTCGCTTCTACATTAACGAGCACTTTTTGGTTTTTGGTTTTTTTGTTGTTGTTGTTGTTATTTTGGTTTTTTTTTTTTTGGGGGGGTGGGATCAGCCCGAGCTGGCTCCAGGCTGAAGGAACCCGACTGCCCCATCTCCCAAACCAAGTAAAGCCCACGAAGAAAGTAGAATGCAAATCATAAATCTCAAATAAATTATGGTAACTCACTGGGCTTAATGGGTGCTTTTTTCTTTTTTTGTTGTTGTTGTTCTACTTGTTTTAACTCTTTTTCAATTTTTTTTCTCTTTTTTTTCCCCTCTTGGCTTTTTTTTTTTTTGCTGCTTAACTAAATGCAAATCTAGTTTTGCATGAACAAACCCATTACCATTGTGACTTCTGGGTTTTCTTCCGATAATAATCAACAAAATGGGAAAATAAAATCCATTTGGGGCTGCTTTGGAAAATACATGAATCCCAGCAGCGGGTTTTGTTTTTCTCTGTGTGTGTGTGTGTGTGTGTGTTTATTTTGCTTGTTTGTCCTAAGTTGCATTGACTGATGTGGAACATGCAGTATCCACCTGCCCAAACAATAGAAAATCCTTTTTTTTTTTTTTTTTTTTTTTTTTGTTTTTTTTGTGTTTAAATGTTTGTTTGCAGGGTCCTTTAAACAGGTGGTAGGTCACTGCTTTAGATGCAACGCTGTCACACAGTAAGCAGACTATGTTTGGTATAAGATCTTCAGGTAAGTGTCTCCACAGCTGTTCTGTATTGATATATTTCAGGAAAAGTTTGTAAACAATCTTTTTCTTGTTGTTTTTTCTTTTTTTTTTTTTTTTTCGCTCGCAAATATCTTAATTCGTACAATTCTACTATTTTAAATTATTTTTTTTTCTCTCTGTGTGTGTGTGTGTTTGTGTTTGTGTGTGTGTGTGTCTCAACACTTGTGTTCCTGTTTTTGTCTCTTGGCCTTTTCCCTCCTGCCCTCCTCCGCCCGTTGCTGTTTCTCCTTCTCGGGTTTGGTGACGCTGTCGTAGGAGGGCAGGGACGCCGTGGACGGGGTCCCGCCCTCCTTCCTCTCCCTGGTGGCCGCCCCGTTCTCCAGTTTGGTGCCGGCCACCCTGCGGCCGCCGGCGAAGCCGCGCCGCGCCAGCCGAGCCCTGTACGCCCTCTGGATGAGCACGGCCGACACCTCCTCCTGCTTGCGCCGCAGCGTGGTGGTGATGGGCTCGTAGGACACTTTGGAAGGGTTGGAGGCCACGAACCTCTCCTCCATCTGCTGCCTCAGGATGTCGAGCTCGCCGCTGTCGCCCAGGACGCGCTTGGTGAAGGCGAAGAGGATGTCGAGGCAGTGGATGCGGTCGCCGCTCACCATGGGCAGGTCCATGGCGATGAGCTCGATGGTGTTGGGCTTGGGCACGCGCAGAGGGTGCTCCAGGGCGTCGGCGAAATCCGCCAGCTTGCTGTACTCGATGAACTGCGTGGCGTCGGGGTCGAACTTCTCCCAGATCTCGTAGAAGGTCTCGAAGTCGTCCTCGCTCAGCGGGTCGGCGCTCTCCTCCGTGGCCACGCTGAAGTTCTCCAGGATGATGGCGATGTACATGTTGACCACGATGAGGAAGGAGATGATGATGTAGCTGACGAAGAAGAAGATCCCCACCGAGGGGTTGCCGCAGTCGCCCTTGAAGCCGCTGCCCGGGTGCTCCTTGTCCAGGTCGCAGTCCGGGGGCCGGTTCAGGATGGGCAGCAGGAGCCCGTCCCAGCCGGCCGACGTGGTGATCTGGAACAGGCAGATCATGCTGTTGCCGAAGGTCTCGAAGTTGAACATGTCGTCGATGCCGGCCTCGTGCTTGACGTAGGCGAAGTTGGACATGCCGAAGATGGAGAAGATGAACATGACGAGGAAGAGCAGGAGGCCGATGTTGAACAAGGCAGGCAGGGACATCATTAAGGCAAAGAGCAGCGTGCGGATCCCCTTGGCCCCCTTGATCAAGCGCAGGATGCGGCCGATGCGAGCCAGGCGGATCACCCGGAACAGCGTGGGAGACACAAAATACTTCTCGATGATCTCGGCCAGGAACATCCCTACGGGAGAGAGGCAGCCAGTGTGACACTGCACACGCACGGGGCTGCTCTGCCCCTGAGCCCGGGGAGGGATGGGGCACGGGGAACAGCGTGGCTGGGTCTGCACAGGGTGCCTGGGATGGGCAGGTCTCATTTTCAGGCAGCTGAAGCCTCCCGAGGGGCAGGGCAGGGGCAGCTCTGCTCTCTGCTCCCACTGAGGACACAAGGGAAGGGCTGCAGCTGTGGCAGGAGAGGATACTGGGGAAAAATTCTTCTCCCAGAGGGCTCAGGGAGTGCCCAGGGTCCCCAGGGAACGGCTGGAGCTGTGTCTAGGTGGGATATCAAGGAAAAATTATTCTCTCAGAGGGTTCAGGCACTGCCCAGGCTCCCCAGGGAATGGCTGGAGCTGTGTCAGGAGAGGATATCAGGGAAAGGTTCTTCTCCCAGAGGGCTCAGGGAGTGCCCAGGGTCCCCAGGGAATGGCTGGAGCTGTGTCAGGAGAGGATATCAGGAAAAATTCTTCTCCCAGAGGGCTCAGGGAGTGCCCAGGGTCCCCAGGGAATGGCTGGAGCTGTGTCAGGAGAGGATATCAGGGAAAGGTTCCTCTCCCAGAGGATTCAGGGAGTGCCCAGGCTCCCCAGGGAATGGCTGGAGCTGTGGCAGGGGAGGGTTAGGTGGGATATCAAGGAAAAATTCTCTCAGAGGGTTCAGGTACTGCCCACAGTCCCCAGGGAATGCCTGGAGCTGTGTCAGGAGAGGATATTGGGGAAAAATTCTTCTCCCAGAGGGTTCAGGTACTGCCCACAGTCCCCAGGGAATGGCTGGAGCTGTGTCAGGGGAGGATATCAGGGAAAAATTCTTCTCCCAGAGGATTCAGGGAGTGCCCAGGGTCCCCAGGGATGGCTGGAGCTGTGTCAAGGTGGAATATCAGGGAAAAGTTCTTCTCCCAGAGGGCTCCCCAGGGGATGGTCACTGCCCCGAGGCTGCCAGAGCTCCAGGAGAATTTGGACACCACTCCCAGGGATGCCCAGGGTGAGATTTTGGGGTGTCTGTGCAGGACCAGGAGCTGCACTGGATGATCCTGGTGGGTCCCTTCCCACTCAGGACATCCCACGGTTCTGTGGTTTTAGGTCTTAATGCTCTGGCTCCCAAAACAGCTCTGCATGGAGAGGGGGAGAGGATGAGGAGGATTCATCCCTCCTGGGTAAGGAGCTGACTCCTGGGGGTGTCTGCTCTCGGTGCCTGAGCCTGCCATGGCAGCCAGGCCACGGGCTCTGCTCTGGAGGTGCTAAAAGTGGGTGAGATAAACCTGATTTCAAGCAGCAGAACCAAGCGGGGCTGAGTTTTAGGCTGTGGGATGGTCTGAGGCTGGTGCTTTGTGCCCTGCCAAGCTTTACTCCAATTCATATTTTGCAGGTTAGATGCTAAAATAACTCAAACCTGTTGGAGGAAACACAGATTTACCATCCAAACAAACTGCAAGCAGGTCGTGTGCTGTGGCAGGAAGCCCAGCAGGGCAATTTTCAGGGATTATTGAGCATTAAAATACCCTGATGAGGTGAGTGAAAATTCAGATTTTAAAGACAGAGAGAGCAATTGTGAAATGATTTACTCCACACAACTGGAAAGGAATTTCAGAACAGAGAATCAGTCAGAATTCAGTCAGAATTCTGCCATGGTCTATTCCCAAGGCTCAAAGAGAACCCTGAACTCCTGGTGCCCACCTGCCTTGGGCTGCAATACAGGATGTGACAAAAAGTTTGAGTTCTATCACCAAGTGGGGCAGTGATCCTGATCTCTGTGGGAAATATCCTCTGCCAATGGATAAATCTGTTAAAGCAGCTGGGCCAGGGCTCCTCAGCTTTTCCACAACCCATCCCTCCTGCAGGAGAGCTCTCCTGTTCAGGGGCCATGGAGTCTCACTGTATCACTGAGAAAATTCCATCATCACATTGGATCCCAATGAATAACTGATAAAATTCCATCATCACATTGGATCCCAATGAATAACTGATAAAATTATATCATCACATTGGATCTCACTGTACTAATAAAATTAAATCATCCCAATTGGGATCCCATTGCTGACCAAATTCCACCATCCCACAGGGAGATGCTCCAGCCAGGGCAGGAGCCAAGAATTTCCCACCCAGATCAAAGGTGAGATTTGGAACATCAGGGCAGCCTTTTCCCACTGGATCCCAGAGGAAAACCAGAACCTTCCACATCATCCCTGCAGCTTTGGGGGAAAACTGCACCTTGTGCAGGAGCCACATCTGTCAGTGCAGGAGGATGCAGCCACCATGGAATGGGACTGCACCAACCCTGCCTGACTGACAGAGTGTCAGATTGGATTCTCACTCTGACCCTGCTCTGGGTTTGTTCTCTGCAATAATGGATTGCTATTTTAATTTTCCTGGTAAAGAACTGTTATTCCTATTCCCATGTCTTTGCCTGAGAGCCCCTTAATTTCAAATTTATAATAATTAGGAGGGAGGGGTTTACATTCTCCATTTCAAAGAGAGGCTCCTGCCTTTCTTAGCAGACACCTGGCTTTC